GTGTGTCTGTTTGAGTGTATCCACATGTGTATATATGGGAGACCGGAAGAGGGGGTCGGGTATCCTCCTGATCACTTCCTACTGATTCCCTTGGTGTGGGGTCTCTCCCTGAATCTAGGGCTTATGTTTTCTCCATTAGGCTGGTAGTCAGAAATCCCCAGTGGTCCTCCATCTCTGCCCCCTCCCCCCCACCTGGGCTTACAGATGTCTGCAGGATGTCAGCATCTTACATAGTTGCTAGGAGCCAAACTCCAGTCCCCATGATGCTCAGTGAGTGCTCTAATTTTAACTGCTAAGCCACCTCTTTGACCCCTCTGTTCATTTTTTTTTTTTCAAGACAGGGTTTCTCTGTGTAGCTTTGGTGCCTGTCCTGGATCTCCCTCTGTAGACCAGGCTGGCCTTGAACTCACAGAGATCGGCCTGGCTCTGCCTCCCGAGTGCTGGGATTAAAGGTGTGTACCACCACACCTGGCTCCTCTGTTCACTTTTAATAAAGTTTTTTTTTCTTTCTATTCTTCTGTTTTGAAGATTTTTTATTTTTATTTTCTTTAAACCATTTCAGCATCTGTACAACCCCATGGTTGGTGTTTGTTAATTACCTTTTCTTTTGTGAGTTACTTAATGTATTCCTAACTCTTGAATGTCAAGTGATCTTGGATTGTGTTCTGGTCATTTTGAAAATCATCTATGAGATGCTAAGCTTGGTTACAATCTTGTGGAGAGGGTTTGTTTTTTTTTTTTTTTTTTTTGTAGCAAACAATCAGCCTGGTTGTGTTCAGACCAGAAGTCCTGGCTGGTTTCCGTGGCTGTGTTTCTATCATCAAAGTTATGTTTCAGTAACTTGGTAGTGCTTTTATGCTCCATCCCTTTGGTAAGCTAAAATGGCTCCCTGCAAGTTCACCTCACATGGTGAAGGGACATTGAAGACACGATTAACCATGAGATGGAGAGGTTGTTGGAGATTATCGTGGGGCTATAGTGTAATCACACGGATACAGGAAAGTTAGATTCTTCCCATGGCCCCCAGGAGGAACACAGGTACACGGATGCCTTGTCTTAGCTCCTAGACCCTAATTCAGACTAACAATGTCCAGAACCATAAGACAATAAATGTATTCTCATGAGCTGTAGGGTTTATGGAAACTTTGAAGAGTAGCCACAGCCATGTGCACACCCAGAGGGACCTGGTGGCAGTCATCATCAGAGTTTAGATATGGATCGTGCTCTTTTGATCCCAGCCAGCTCTCCACATGTACAGCTCAGCATTTCATGCAGTCCCGTAGAGCACTCAGTTTCTCTTCCGGCCACTGCCACTGCAGGGGGTAGATTCATTCCTGGAACTCGCCTGGCACTGGGTCTGGACAGTCTAATGAGGGTTTTTCTTCTGGGATTCTGGCTGCCACAGAGACTGAGCTAGGAGATAGAGAATGCTTGTCTCTGTGCTGGGGTCACAGGCATTCATAGCCATGCCAGAGTGGTTTTATTTTTTTGTTTTGTTTTGTTCTACATGAATTCAAACTTGATCCAGTCTTCCAGGCTCTAACCCCCACTTCCCCTGAACCTCCCCTCTCAGTTGGTGAGGAGATAAACTTGGTCACAGAGAGCTTGGTGAGGGGGAAACGTGCAGGGTAGAAGCGCAGGTTTCGGAGAGAGTCAGAGATGAAAACAGGAAAGAATGAGGCACACTTGAAGTGTCAATCAATGTGAATACACTTCCCCCTGCCCTGCAGCTCTCTACCGAAAAGAAGCCGCAGAGGAGGCTGATAGTTAGGTTGCTAGGACTGTCGTTTGTCTTCTGGATCTGGCAGAAGGACTTGGGTGTTACAAGGGCGAGGTAACCGTTGAGAGGAGGGATGCAAGTTGGGTGACGGTGGTGCACGCCTTTAATCCCAGTGCTCCGAAGGTGGAGGCAGGTGGATCTGAGTTCAGGGCCAGCCTGGTCCACAAATCAAGTTCCAAGATAGCTGGGGTTCTGTTACACAGAGAAACCCTGTGTTGAAGAAAAAAAAATCAATAAAAAAGAAAAAGAGGAGGGACGTATTTCTGAGGCGTGAACTCAAGGTGTGGCTGCTGAATTGGGAGACATTGGAAAGCATCAAAAACTAAAGGCTGTGACTTAAAGAGGAAACACAGGGCCTGCGGGTGTAACTGAGTTCTCACCTAGCATGCATGAAACCCTGGGTCGGCATGTGCTTGTGATCCCAGGACTGGGAGGTCAAGGCAGAAGAGTCTGAAGCTCAAGGTCACCCTTCCCCTTGGCTGTATAACAAGTTAGAGGCCAGAATGGGATATGCAAGACCTTGTCTCAACAACAAAAAGCCAGGACATTAAGAGGGACCATGTACATGTGAATGCACTAGAAAGAGACCTGTCAAAGTGTGGTGTGTATGATTTCATAGGTATAGTGGATTCAGATAATAACGAAGGAAATGCTCAAGGAGGTACTGCTTAATATATTTGATCTAAATTCTAAAATGCCTGTGGTAGTTTGAATAAAAATGGACCCCATAGGTCTATAGGGAGTGGCACTATTAGGAGGTGTGGCCTTGTTGGAGTCAGTTTGGCTTTTTGGAGGAATTGCATCACTAGGGGGTGGGCTTGGAAGTCTCAGATGCTCAAGCCAGGCCAGTGTGGCAGTCTCTTCCTGCTGCCTGAGGATCAACATGTAGAACTCTCGGCTCCTCTCCAGTACCATGTTTGCCTGCATGCTGTCATGTTTCTTGTCATGACGATAATGGACTAAACCTCTGAACTGTAAGGCAGCCTCAATGAAATGCTTTCCTTTACAAGAGTTGCCGTGGTCATGGTGTCTCTTCACAGCAACAGAAACCCTAATTGTGCCCTTGAACTTCTAATTTCTCAAGCAACAGTAAATCCGTAACCATTGCTCTGAAATTATATATTGTTGGAGTCCAAAAGCCACAGAGAAAAACACAGCCCCAAGAAACTCTGGGCTCCATCAAAGCACATGAGTGCCCCTCATCATGTTTCAGTGGCCATTATAGCACAGAGCCTTTTGTAATATTCTCATTGTGGCAAAAAAGCAAAATCAGTTAGTATGAGGTTCTAGTATTTCTAAATACTGTATGATTACTTTGCTTAAAGCTTAAGATTCTCTGAGAAAGACTTGAAAATTAATTGCAATTTTTTTCTTTAGCATTTAAATAAACACAGGAGCTTGACTTGGGAGCAGATGCCAGTAATCCCAGCACTTGGGTGGCAGAGTGAGGCGGATCTCTGTGAGTTTGAGGCCAGTCTGGTCTACAGAGTGAGTTCCAGGACAGGCACCAAAACTACACAGAGAAACACTGTCTCAAAAAACAAAAAACAAAAACAACAACAACAAAAAAAGGGGGAGCTATTGCCTATCACACAATTAAATTCCAGATCACTGGTCTGCTATGCTGATTTCCACATTTACTGAACTTAGTCAACCTCAGAAACAAAAGAAGTAGATTATTAGAGAGCTTTCATCCCACAGTCCCAACATTTTATGACTAGAGTTGGCTGTAACTTTGTCTGCTAACACAAATATTTACGTCAAGACAAGGATGCAATCGAATGCCTTTATGTTTTAATGTGGTACTTTAATGAATCACTACAATTGCTGTGAACATTTTTTAATTTAAACACAGGTGACTGAAAGGAAGGAGACTTGGTTTGGGAATCAAGAGCTAAGCAAGGGCTGCCTTGGGGAGCCACGTGCTTAGCAAGGGTTCTCGATTCACTGAACTGTCCCTGGACACTGACAGGCCATGGACTGACTTGTTGAAATCTCAGAGCCTGGTGGGCTTCGCTGAGGATCCTCTGCAGGGCTGTGCCACAATTAAATTCATGTTCCATTCACTTCCTCTGATCCTCTCTGTGCCAATGACTTCCTTCACTTTATAAAGCATGGAGATGGTACCCCGGTGCTGCCGAGGCAGTTGAGACCATACGTGAGATGCTGTGTGCAGCTGCTCCATGTAAGCATGTTACTGTGGGCTAAAGACCTTTACATCATAGCCTAGTGGTGTAGGCCTATAACTGCAGCTACTCAGGAGGCTGTGGCAGGAGGATTACAAGTTCAAGGCCAGCTTTGGCAACTTAAGACCTGTCTCAAAACGTAAAAAAAATCTCTAGTTCTGGAGGAAGAGGAGGAAAATGAAGAGGAGGAGGAAGCAAGACCTTCACAGGATCTCGGTAATATACTCCAGAGTTTAGCACTAACATGTGGTGATCTGTTTTCTTAGTTTTAATTTTTCTCAGATCCTTTCTGGTTTCTTTACTGCTTTTGGTGGTCTACACACACACACACACACACACACACACACACACACACACACACACACACACACATGTGTAGTAGAATATTATTTTAATGTGTGTTGCTTTTGTTTATGTTGAATTTGTTTAACTCTGTGAAGCTGTGTTACTGTGCCTGTCTAAGACACCTGCTGGTCTAATAAAGAGCTGAACAGCCAATAGCGAGGTGGGAGAAAGGATAGGTGAGGCTGGCAGGAGAGAGACTATATAGAAGAAGAAATCTGGGAAGAAGAAGAAGAAAGTACTCAGAGAAGAAGGAGGACTCCAGGGGCCAACCACCCAGCCACCCAGCTACACAGCAAGCCATGGAGTAAGAGTAAGATTTACAGAAGAGTACAGGAATAGCCCAGATGCAAAAGGTAGTTGGGATAATGTTAGTTAAAGAAAGCTGGCAAGAAACAAGCCAAGTTAAGGCTGGGCATTAATAGGTAAGAATAAGCCTCTGTGTGTGATTTATTTGGGAGCTGGGTGGTGGGCCCCTCAAAAGAGTAAAATGCCAACAACAATATACACACAAAGCATTTCTTAGATTGAAACTCAGGGAAACACTACTTTCTGTTGCTCATTGCCACAGAAGCACTTTACAGGGGTTGGGGACGTAGTACAGTGGCAGAGTGGTTACTTAACATGCAGCCTTGAGTGTGATCCTCTGGCACTGCAGGGAAAAGAAAAGAAAGGAAAAAAAAACATATGCATAGCATATCTACATTTTTATTATAGAAGTATATATGTAATTACTTGTATAAATTCTTGAAAAGAGAGAATATATGCTCGCAGTTCCACGAGTACAATGATAGGGCTGCACAGTTGGTCGTTTCATATGAACGTAAGGGTTTCTGAGGTAGCTTGGGGAGGAAAAAGAACCCTGGATTCAGAGTTGTTAGCACTCAGCAGTCCTAGGTGGTCTTGCAAAGTGGGTTCTTCTACGTACATTGATACACATGCATATATATCTTCCACACATAGCTGCACATTTTCTAAAGACATTTTTTTATTCATGTTACATACCAACCACAGATCCCCCTCTCTCCCCTCCTCCCGCCCACCAGCCTTCCCCCCAACCTACCCCCCATTCCCTCCTCCAACAAGGTAAGGCCTCCCATGGGGAGTCAGTCAGCAGAGCCTGGTACATTCAGTTGAGGAAGATTCAAGCCCCTCCCCCTGCATCAAGGCTGTGCGCTAAGGTGTCCTGTCATAGGTAGTGGACTCCAAAAAGCCAGCTCATGCACTAGGGATGGATGCTGATCCTATTGCCATGGGGCCCTGCACACTTTAAGCTACAATCTTGGACAAGCATGGATTTTCTTTGTTTTGGGGTCTTTCATATCTGAACTGCGAGGATCCAGTGCTTTGTACGCTTAGCGTGGTGGCTAGTGCATCATTAATGTCAACAGACAAGTACTAGTCATCCTCACACACCCTGTTAGAATAGCTGGCGTTATTTTCCTAGAGTTCGTGTCATTTCTTTATGGCTGTCTAGAAGTGATTTACTCAGTGCTCCTTGGGAACCTGATACCCGGTGCCTGTCTCCTTGCTGTCCATTGGCAGAGCCCTCAATACTATTATGGGGACTCATGCGCCTTCTCAGCACAGCTCCCCCTACAGGTGGGTTTAGGGAGTTAACTTAATAGTTAGAAGGTGTTACCTCACTCCTTGTCGAGTTTCAGTGTTGAGCTTTTTTTTTTTTTTTTTTTTTTAACTTTTGGATTCTGTTTGCCAGCACCTTTTTATTATTATTTTTTTTTGTTCTAACACCTATTTCTACTTAACTAACATTTTCCAATTGCATTACCTGGCCCCTTTAACTGAGATTCTCTTTATCACACAGGCAATAGATCTTTCTCTCAATTGCTCTCTTATTTTGAGGTTCTTAAGAAAAAAAAATCCACACACCATGTGGAGTGTTCTTCTCACTATCTTCGTTAGGCCAGGTGGTTGTACCTTGATGGTGCTCATGGTGGGTCTCCTAATCCGGTACAGCCATCTCTCTATGGTAAAAAGGAATCTGTTTACCACCAGAGTTAGGTATAAAACACATGAAACCCTTCATGGACCACGAGAACATTTTCCTTGATGTAAAAAAAAAAAAAAAACTGGACTAGACAAGAATGGAGCTAACATACTGCTCTCATGACAAGTTAGCATTTCAGCTTTCATGATTGCCATCCTTCATATTGCCTCCAGCCTTCCTTCCAGGATTCATGTTCCTAGGGAAATATTTATTTGATAGATGTATGGACCTCTCATCCCAAGGCTTCAGCCAAGTTTTCAGGAGAATCCCTCTTCTTACCTCCTCTTCCAAGTCTTACTAGGGTTTTCCTTTCAAGGAAACACTAGGTCTTTCTTGGTAAGATTTAGGGATTAAGGGGCATGGAGGCTTCATGTGGGTGACTATGCTGGAAAAATCTACCCTCTCTTTGTGAACGTCCTTCCTGACAGAGGCCTTCCACATTTCATGCTAACTAAACCCTGCCTAGGTGTCCTGGGTAGAGCCAAGTGTGTTGTGTCTGTGTGGCAGACCCGAGAACCCTTCGGGAGTAAAGGTGGAAGCAGAAGACCACCTTACCTGGGTCTTAGCATGGAAATTGTATTTCTTCCTAGAGGAAGGTGTCATGTATCTCCTGCTAGGCTGATGAACTGAGAACATAAAGTGACTCCCGTGCAGGAGTGAAGGGGTGTGAAGGGACAGGGGAGGCGGGGGCAGCAAGCTATGGAGCTTTCAGATGCATGGCTGTGATGAGAAGATCGTAGGGAAGAGTCTAGCTCAAGTCTATTGCGCCTGTGAGTCCTTTCAACTTTGACCTTCCGCTGTCTTTCACGGGTTATGTGCATCGGCCTCTGTCCTCTTGCAAAGGGTCCTCCCCAGTCACCCAAACCTACGTGGACGTCTGTAAGAGGACACATACTCTCAGTAACCAAGAGGAGTAACAGGCTTGCACAGGGCTATGTCGATACTGAGGCGAACACCAGGGCACACAAAGACATTGCATCGGCTTCCGAGTCTAGATCTATAAATATATTTATTATAATATAACAACTTAACAATAAACATATACTATATACAATACCATTACAGAGAACCCTGTTTTTTATATCATTCACAGAAATAGCCAGTTTTGCTCCAGTGTGATAGATGAGGAGAGAAACAGAATTTCAGTGTCATCTGTGGAGTCCTGTTGACCACTAACACCTCCCTTGGAGGCAGATGCACACCAATGCTCACATTCGCCCTGCCCCAGGCAGTTAGAAATTTGTGCTCCGGTCCTTGGGTTCACACTTGCACCCTGTTTGACATAAATACTTTTTAAATGACATACAAGGTATGTAGTTTTGTGCTTATTACTTTTTTTTTAAATAATAAATATTAAAAACTGCATAACGAAGCTCGGTATCTTTGTCAAGTGGGAGCCACACTTGGGATGCTGGACGGAGACGCCCGTCGTGAGGACTGGGATTTTGTGTCGTCCAATACTGAATGATGGAAAGTGTGTCCTGTCTCTCTCTCTCTGCCAAACGGTTCTTATCGTGAAGTGACGGCGGCGAGCTGACTTCCCAGGTAGAAAAAACGGTGTGTATTTGGTACTAACTTCAACTAAACAGCATGGTGGCGATGGCGGTGGCGGCAGCGGCGCGGCCTTCTTCCTGCCCTAGAATGGAAACTGATGACCGGGTGAGGTTTGAAGGTCTAAGGACTAATGGGAAGGCCATTCTCTTTTGAGCCTCGTCGGGATCTCTTTCCTGGCTTCCCTTTTCTCGGGTTACTGTTAAAACAGGGCAAGAAGAAAAACGGTTCTACTTGTGCCCCTCGGGCCGTGGCTGTCATGGCTCATCTAAGAAGGCTGTCCCCATCCTGAGAGCTCTTGTGGCAGGTGCCTTGAATATATAGCTATAAATATCAAAAATAGTCTCCTGTGCTTTGTAGACATTTCTTCTCCCTCCCGCCCTCCCTCCCTCAGTCCCTTGCCTGGGCCTGGGTCCTCAGCTTTACCTCACGGAGGGAGAGCTGGACTGGTGTCAGAAGCCAGAACTGTATTCTTCTAGGATAGACCCTTGCCCCCCTGACAATGCCTCTGTGAGGCATGGTCTTCCAGGGCTGTCTGGGAGTTAACTTTTTCCAAAAATAAAGTGGGGGCATGGCCCATCTCAGGAGAGATCCTCTATTCTGCACACATAGAAAAGTGAGAGCGAGTGCCCCCCCCCCGTGGCTCTGGCACTACCTACAAAGAGCTTTGGGAAGTCCCTGTGTTATCCCTCTTGTGGCCTCCCCCTCTCGGTACTTAAAAATAGCCTTTTGTGTATCAAGAAAATGCCTTGGAAATCTAAATAATTCATACTGGCTAAGAGAAAGCTAGCACATCCACCATGTCCTTTTGCAGCGAAAACATGGTTAGAAAAACCCGTGAAGGACAGGCGGCTCTTCCCAGCGATCCCTGCGGCTGCCAGCCCGGGCTGGGCACACGCAGCTGGCCCTCTCTCCTGTCTGGTGGCCACCAGCCCCCTCCTAGGCCTTGGTGCTGCATGGTCCCGTCCTTCGTTTTTTTTTCTCTCGGCCACTTGAACGTGTAGATTGGTTCAAAACAAAACAAAAAACAAAAAGTAGGAATCAAAGTGATAAGGACACTTTGACCTTATTCCCAAAGAGCCTGGTGCCCAATATTGTCACAGGATAACTGATCTATGGTGGTTTAGGGATTGAGCTTGCTCTGCAAGAAGGAAAAAAAAAAAAAAAAAAAAAAAACCAGCTTCTCTCCCAGTTGAAAAATATGTGAAACTATTGCACCGGGCAGAGCGAGCGCCCCCTGTTGAGAGCAAGCGCCTTGGCTGGCCAGAGATCCCTGGCTCTGTGTGTTCCAGGTTCCTGCTGCCCGGAGCACTGTGCCCCACTTCACCCAAAAGGCGAGGATGATTTTCTACATTCAATGTAGAGAATATTCGAAATGTTCGCGCAGTGAGTTTCTTGATTGCGTTTTGTGGGCCTCTCATTGGTGTCGAAAGATAACCATGGTGTGTGGCATGTGCCTCACCAGACTTGTCCCATAGGCTTGTCCTGGGCTCTCCGCTGATGTCAGCCGCTTTGAATGTATTTCTTTATCACGACACAGCCGTGTCTGAACACAGGACAGGGCATGTGGGGTAGGAGGGTCCATGTGTTGGTTGTGGGCTCATAGGCTTCCATGTTGCCCAGGGCTGGTCCCTCGCTGCTCACGATGCCTCCGGTTGCATAAATTTTACCATCGAGCACCACAGCGCTACGAGAGGAGAAAGGGGGGCAGAGAGTTAGGCCTTGAATTTCCATAGGGGTTCTGGAGACAGAATCCCAACACTGTCCTGGTTACGGGGGGGCCCCTAGACCCTCTTGCACAGGCGGTGTGGGATCTCCTCGCTCTTCTTTGCCACCTAACCTGGGCTAATAAACAAAACAACAAGGACATTTTTCTACAGGAACACTTGGGGTGTCCGAGGGGAGACAGGCTCATTTTCATTAGCTGCCTCCTCCCAGCTCCACTGAGAGACTATGGACGGCTGCAAAGGGGGGTCACTTCTTACACAGGTGCCTGCCCATCTCTGGGCCTTTACTGACCTACAGACAGCTGCAAAGGGGGTCGCTTCTTACACAGATGCCTGCCCATCTCTGGGCCTTTACTGAGCCTCTTCTTACTATGCATACAGAGCCTTCTGAATGTTCACACCGAGTTGGGGCTGTGACTCAAAATGCCAAGAGACAGAACAATGGGTCAGATCTAGCCAAGTAGCAGCCCTGTGATGGGGAGGCCTGCTCCTCTGCCCAGGAACCTAGCAGTGCCACTTTCTTCCTGTTTTCTCAACACACGTGACCGAGGTTGCTACCACCTGCAACTCAAGGGCCAAGCATGCTCTGAGGGTGGCCAACAGCTCTGCCTGGACCTGTTTCCTGAGTGACACTCGCTGACTGGGACCTGTCATTCCAGACAGCTCTTCCAAAAGCCCGGTATCCTGCTTTTTCTGCATTTCTTTAAAAGTACCTTATTAAGTTTATTCATTGCATTGCATTTTATGTGTTTTGCTTGCATGTATGTATGTGCACAGCATGCATGCCTGGTGTCTGCAGAGGCCATCAGATACCCTGGAAGTGGAATTACAGGTATTTGTGAACCTCCGTGTGGATGCTGGGAATCTAACCCGGGTCCTCTGTAAGAGCAACAAGTGCTCTTATCCACTAAGCCATCTCTCCAGCCCTGCACTCACTTCTTAATGCTTTTCAGCTGTTGCTTCTAGCCATGTTTCTAGCCCCCGACTTCTCCTTCATCACTCCATCAAATGGCCAATTCTTCTTGACTATTTCTTGAAAATGGACCCAGAAGTTTTCCAGGACTCGACTCACATTTCCAAGGTCCTGATCGGAACACATCTCGACTCCAGATTCCTTATCCGACACTGCGGCTTCCCTAGTGCTCCTTTCTGGTTCCTCGCTACTCTGGGCTTTCATGGCCCGTTTGTATCGCCGACCATCTCCCTGTCTCGCTCACAAAGGCCCGCTCCCACCCAACCCCTGGTACTCAGTGTTTCCTGTGACTCATCGTCTCGGGTGAAACATGGGCCCCTCCCTCACTGACTCAGTAGTCCGGACATCACTGTCAGCCACAGGAAAGTCAGACCGTGACTGCCGTTGTGGTACTGAGGGATGGACCGTTCAAAACCCGAGGAACCAGAACTCCGCCAGGAGCCTCGCAGTTCAGTGCTCTGGTCTAAACACCAGAGCAGGATAGAATTTTCTAGGGCTGGGGGAGCGACGTATCCAAGTTGCAGCAACATCCTGGGAGTTAGAGTTATCTTCTGTGGTAGCGACGCAAACAACAGGCGCTCAATAAATGCTTCTTGTTCCCATTACTGAAAACTTCGTCATTGCCTCTGCATAGTCAACAAGGAGACTCTGGAAGAACCTACTATGGCATTGTCAAGAGTAGAGTGTCTGGCCCTGCCTCTCCGTTTTCCTGTTCCTCTTAGAATGGTAAAGGAGGCAGCCAGAAGGGCAAGGACCGGTGTCTCACGGACCTGGGGTCGGGGTGCTCGGAGCCAATCTGCATTCTACCTCCTCTTCCTCCATGTGCTTGCAAGTCGGTAGCTTCTGAGTATCTTGTGCTTTGCCTGGGCCAGCATGGGGCTCACACATGTGAGCATCCCCCTCATGAGGAGGTCAATTATCCCTACCTGCCTCTGGAAGGCACCCTGGGAGAGAGAGAGTTGGCCTTGCTTCTCACTGAAGGGAGGGTGGCACTGATGTCTCTTCCAGTGTGAGATGAGGTCCTATGAGGCACAGTTTGGGGGTCCTGGGCCAGTTGCTATCACAGGATCCGATCGCAGCTGCTCCTAGGGGTGCCATACTGTACTCTAGCCCTGACATGCATTTCTGTGGCAGGGATGGGGCGAGGAAGGCCACCACTCCAGGTTTGCAGTTGTTTTGGTGTGGGGAGGTGGCGAGTCCTTGGAATCCCACTTCTGGTGGGTTCAGCCATGCACCCTTCCCCTGTCCCCACTCCTCCACAACCCCAGCTCAGGTACCCCCCTCACCTGCAGAACTGGCGAGAGTGATTCATGTTTGGGCCTGCCTTGATGTTGCCCTTTTCCGGGTCGTAGATGGTGGTGGCTCGGGCGTAAGATCCTCCCAGGATGAACACAAAGCCGTTGAGGGTGACAGCAGGGGCATACTTGTTGTCTGTGAGGATGGCGGAACCAGGTGGTCAAGGCAGGTGGTCATAGCCTCCCTCCTGTTGTTCCCAGCGGCATTCCCAACATCAGTATGGCACTGATTGCCCTGAGGACAGGCTTGGGGGACAGGAGCAGCCCGAATCTTGACTGGCTTGCCCTTTTCTAGGTACTGGCATCCCGGCTGCTCCTGGGCTTTGGGGCTACCTACTACCCACGGCTAGACCTGAGTCTGCAGACTCTTCGGGCTTAGCCTGATTCTATCTGGGATGTGGGACTGCGGGGTGCCCTACTGGGCTGGACTGAGGAGAGGCCAGATTCTTACCGATCATTGGGGACTCAATGAAGCTCCACGTGTTGGTCTGTGGCACGTAGGACTGAAGGACGCCTGCGGCTCGGCCTGCCTCATTGACCCCACCAAACACGTAGACCTTGCCACCACACACGGTGGCCGCGGCTGAGTGCACTGCCTTGGGCAGAGGGGCTACCGTCTCCCATTGGTTAGTGATGGTGTCGTACCTGTGAAGAGGGGAGAGAGAGTGTCCTTGTGCAATGCAGGCCACAGTCCAGGGAAGCAGCACCTGGGTGGAATCCAGTGTCTGCTTTCTGCCTTCAGCATCGCTGGCACAGGGAACCCAGGCCTTGCTCCAAACTGGTTCTAAAGGCCTCTTTTTGAGCTGCAGTGGGGCCTTTTTGCTGCCTGGCCAGCCTCTGTGTAGATCCTGCCCTTGCTTACATAATGAACATCCCTGTGGTGATGGTGTACCCGGAATCTGCTGGGGGAGACTATTTCTGCCTTCAAGAAGCTGCTGGCCCAGTAGGGAGGACAGCCACATCAAACATGCAAAATCCAATGATCATGAAGGACGGTGTGGCGTGATGATGAGGGGGCCAACATGCATACAGCAGTGCCCCCCCTTTCTCTCATAGGTGAGGTTAAGCCTCTCTGGAGAGTGGCCCAGGGCTGGGTCTGGAGGGGTGAATGGGCTATTAATATCAGGCAGAGGTTGGACAGACACAAATGGGTTCAGGAAAGCGTGGTTTGAAAAAAAAAAAAATGGTCCCAAAGGGCGTGGCACTATTAGGGGGTGTGGCTTTGTTGGAGTAGGCGTGGCCTTGGAGGAAGTGCGTCACTGTAGAGGTGGGCTTTGAGGTCTTATATATGCTCAAGCCACACCCATTGTCTTAGACCACTTCCTGTTGCCTTCGGGTCGGGGTGCAAGAATTCTCAGCTCCTTCCCCAGCACCATGTCTGCCTGCACGCTGCTTTGCTTTTCGCCATGACAATCATGGACTAAACCTCTGAACTGTACGTGAGCCACCCCAGTGAAAGGTTTTCTGTTATATGAGGTGCTGAGGTCATGGCGTCTCTTCACAGCAACAGGAAGCCTGACTCAGATAGGAAGCTAATTGAAGGTGAAGGGTCAAATGTGGGCACAAGGGTATTTGAGGGACATCTGGAGTAGTTCAGAATGGCTGGAGGGAGGGTAGATTAGAAGGCCTTCTGTGTGCCAGGCTTAGGGACTTCGTGTAGGGAGCAGTGGGGAAGCCCTGTGGGTTTAAGCAGGGAAATAACACAGTCAAAAGAGATGAGAGACCACTGTGGCTGCAGGGTGGGGAAGGTACTTCTGGGAGGAGGCTGGACGCGTGAGGACTTATCACCCACAGGAAGCTTGATGAGAAGCAGGTGATGGATGGGTCGAAGGATGAGGAGTGTGAGGGACAGGGCATGGGAAGGGTGAGGAGAGGGGCATTGGCTGTGGGGATGTTGTGGCTGAGAGGGGCAGGGTTACATGGGGTGCCTTGGGCGGGTGTCTCTCTCTCTGTATTGGAAGAACTGGGGAGGCAGCTAGAGGAGAGGGAAGAGTCCAATGGTAATCGGTGTCTGTGGGTACATGCCAGCGCTGTGCAGTGGACAGCTGGGCATGCAGATCTGGGTTGAATAGTTCGCTTTGGGGGTCACCAGCACAAGACGGACATGAGAGCTGAGGAATGTCCTGGGGAGTCCAGGTGGTCCTGAGGCTGAGGACATGCGGGGGTCGGGAGGAGGTTGGCTGTGAAGGGTAGAGAAGCGCTCTCTTGGAGGGCAGTCAATATCAGGCCATCCATCAGTCAGCAACTATGCCTTGAAGACCGAGGACCTCACGTGTAGATGGGGCGGGGGGGGGGGGGGAGAGGGTTGGGGTTAAGGCATGAAGTCTTGAGCAGGTCATGGTGTTCTTGACGTCACTGGCACTACAGGTGAAAAGAGATGCACACAAGGCATTGTGTGTCGGAGTGAAAGAGGGCAGTACATTGGAGACGGTGGCAGCAGACGCAGACTTCTCTCTGAGGAACCTGAGCCATGAAGAGGGCAGAGATGGGGGTTCTCAGAAAGGAACATGGAATCCGGGGACGGTGTGTGTGTGTGTGTGTGTGTGTGTGTGTGTGTGTGTGTGTGTGTGTGTGTGTGTGTGTGTGAAGTAGAACGCTCACCAGTGTTTACCAGCCACCTCTCTGAGGAAAACATCCTCGAAACACCTGCTGGTTTCTGTGATGTAAGCCCTTCCACTTGCCTGACCCTATCAGCAGGATGTGGGAGTCCAGGAGAAGATCCTTTGTGCTGTGGTCACGGCTGTCTAGACTCTCTCCCCCACATGCAGCTCCAACAGTCATGTAAAACCCCAAATAGAGAGCAGGAAAATACCGTGGCTAGCCAGGAAGTGATGAATGGTGAGGAGTGGATTATCTGTGTGTTAAGATGGAATTCTAATTTTTAATAATAACTGGGTTGCACAGTTCTCCAAATGTTATCAGGCGCTTCTCCTGAGCCCATTGAAATGAACTCTGGCACAACACAGATTTTGTTTTAATGGCGGCGGGGGTGGGGGGGTGTTAAGTACGTTTTTTGTGTGTGTAGATAGGATAAAGCCCAAGGGAATGAGCAAAAAGTTAAATGGCCAGACTCCAAATCTGTGCATTCTGCATCCATAGATGTAGTCCGTTGTACATAGGAAATAGCTAAAAAACTGTATCTGTATCGAACACGTACAGATTTTCCATTATTTCCAAAAGCAATACAGGATAACGGCTCTTTACATAGCACTTGCATTGTGTGAGGTATTGTAAGTGGTGTGTGAAATGATGTAAAGTACCTCGAGTCTGCAGCAGGCTGTGCACAGGTATTTGTATGTAGATACCATACCGTTTTATATGAGGACTAAAGCGCTTGCAAACGTGGGTCTACAGGCATCCTGAAACGAGTCCCCTGTGGGTACCAGGGGGACTTTGCAGTATAAGCAAGAGAGGATGGTGCACAACTGAGTCCCAGCACTCGGATGCTGACCCCGGAGTTGTTTAAGGCTAGCCTGGGTAACAGATCCTACTGAGAGATGGGGGAGGGAGGGAGGGAGACAGAGGAAGGAGAGAAAGAACACACAGCTGGGGATCACAGGGAACCCCGAAGAGTCCTGAGCCCTCCCTTGTAGTGGGTAGCTGTTCCAGCTTTGACCTGGAAGTACTACCCCCATTGTAGGCGTCCGGTAACTGTCACACCTACAAGGCGGGGCCGAGAGAGGGGCCCTTAAGACCTGAGATCCAGATGTGCCAGCTCTCGTGGTTCCTGGATCCTGGATGCTGGAGGTAGACAGAGCAGAGTTCTCCAGGGAACACTGCCGGACTGCGCTACACCTTTCCCGGACCCTGTAATCTATCCCTTTACTTGTAAGTTACCTCACAAAATAAACCTCCCTTTTAACTACATGGAGTGGCCTTAATACTACAACCAATACTCCCTCACACCATGGTTTGGATCTGTTATTTGCCTTGTAGAACGCGACAAAGAACTGAAGGCTCCTGGGTCCTGTAAGGCTTCTGGCAGGTAGAGCAGATGCTAATTAAAAGGAGTTGTGTGCAGGGGCACAGGAGAAAGGAAAATGGAAGTCAAGGATGTCACGGCTGCAGGCGCATTGCTGGAGTTATCCGAGAGACATGAACGGTGTTTGGTGTTTTTGTTGAGAGAGGGATCCGTGAACCCCAGGCTGATCTGGTACGTCCTAAGTAGCCAAGGATGAGTGTCACCTCTGAGATCTCCCTGGTGCTGCACTTAACAAATGTGGACAGCCATCCCTACTTTATGTAGTGGTGGGAATCAAACCCAGGGCTGCCTGCAACTCTAAGCAAATATTGTACCTCCAGAACATTTGAGTTCTCAATCCGGGGCCCCATTTACTCTGGCAAGCAGGAGGTGGGGTGGCCAAAAGTAGTCAGGGAGCTTGTGTATGGAATCTGGGCTTTGAGGAGAGAGGAGAGCCCTTGCTTTTGAGAGGAAATGGCTGATAAGGCAGACCCTAAGAGTGCCTTGCCGCATGTCGGGCTGGCTGGAGGCTTGAGTCTCCAGTGTGTAGAAGGACCACGGTACGATGCTAGGATTTTCCTTTCCAGCCCCAGGGAGACGGGGAGGAGAAGGCAAAGAATAGGGCTGGACAGATCTGCTTCACATACAGTGCAGGATGATGAAGCAGCACAGTGAGAGGATGGGGAGGTCCAGACACGTGGAGGAAAAGGAAGGCAGGAAACAGCTGCTGGGATGAGCAGAACCGGAACGAAGCAGGCTGGCCAAGGGGTTGCTGTCCCTGTGGTTGGCTTTTGGAGGACAAGCTCCACCAACCTACTCGCCAGCATTTCTGTTCCGTGTTCCAAGGACCTAGCTGCCCTCAATGCTCCTGCTTGACTGTAGCTGCCCCAACATTTACTGTAGACCTACCAGCAGGGTACATCTGTGGCTCCCCACTCCATATGTGTCTGCGCCCAAAGCATGGGCCCGAGTTTGCTCACTGTGACACCAGAGATTTTGGTTAGCACATGGCTATGACCAGCACACGCCTGTCATGCTCCCGCTATGAGCCTCCTTTGGACAAGAGCCATCATTAGCTCAGAGCTGGGCGCTCTGGGAAGAGGGTCTTATGTGGACCGTGTTTCTGGTTCTTGAGTGTATGGGGAAGGGACATTCTGCCAAGTGATATCTACTTCTGGACTTGGATATGCCAAAGTCTCTATGGGGCAGCCAGGACTGATGCTATTCAGTCGTAGATGGATGATATATAGCTAATACGTAATGGAGTGTCTTTTTGGGGTAGAGTCAGAGTTCAGATACCTGTTTTTTGTTTTTTTTTTAAGCCAATATGGCAGCAAGCCAAAGAGCTCCCACAGAAAGAGCTGGGGGATGAGAAAGATTATGTGGTTGTTAGCCCTCAGTCTTCCGGCATAATGACACATTCCGCCAAACACAAATTTCCTGAGAGTTTGTTATTCCAGGTGGCTGATTGCCAAGCCATGAGCCCTCCCGTCAGCTCAATCTGTCAGCTTCCTGCGTAAGAAGGATATGCTAATGACATGCAAATGACCTAGCCGCGTGAGGCGTTCCGCTATCATTTATGCGGTAACCACAGCTCCTGCAATATATTGCTGTAAAATATTAGACCCAGTTATTTATATAATGATATAATACAGGTTTGTCTATGGCGCTGTTGTTTTAATCTATAATTATGTAATCTTGCTCTATTCCTGTAACACAGTAATGTAATATAATTATAATACACCGTATATCTCATTCATTATCAATATAATAGCAATTTGTACCATTAGTGCTTGCTGTGGAACAAAGCACCCTCATGTCTGTCCCCATTACACTGACCTTCCTGTCACCCTGAATTGTTATCACCGCTGCCGTGTGGCACAGAGACTGTCTCACCCAAAGGGGTCTGCTCCTTGGGTAGCTACTGGGTGCCTCTTCCCCTACATGCTCTCTACCCCCTTGCATGGGTACCACCTAGGGGTCTTCTAGTCTTTGTCCTAGCTTACAAGCACAGATGATGGGCCGAGGGAGCACTCAGGGTCCCTCAGCTTCTCTGTGCTCCCCAGCTGCTCTTCCATCCAGTGGGCCACCGGGGGTGGGGGTGGGGGTGGACTTAAGTCTCAGGTGCCTGGCGCCGACATTTATTTTCCAGTTATCTGGAAGGCTGAGCTCCTTAGGGAAGGGCCAGTATGGGCAGCAGCCCCCTTGGGGCCTTGAAGAACTGCTTCAGGGCCCAAGGAAAGAGGATGTGAGCTTCTCTCTCTCTCTCTCTCTCTCTCTCTCCCCCTCTCCCTCCATCAGTGCGTTTGATCTTTTAACAAATCCCTGTATTTATCAACAAGTAGAACTTTGCAAAATGAGTAATCAGCATTTTAGGAGATTAAAAATAGCTGACGGAAGCAAAGCAGGATGACATCCAGTGCGGCGGACTCCTACATGGAAAAATGTCGCCTTGCTCATGTGTTTATTATTGGTTGACAAATGACTGGAAGCTGATGCTTCTGGGGGAGCGTAGGGGTCCACCTGGACGTGCAGCAGGTCATGCTGAAGACCCCCCGGTGTTAGGGCTAGTCTGAGTCCAAGCACAGTATTAATATGCTCATAATCACCTGGGGATTTCCCATTATCATCAAATCAATATGACAATTAAATGTTGTTACCAAGCCGTCTCTGGCTCCACTTGGGGGACTTAAAAGCCCACAGTGAACATTCAGAACCTGTCTCCCTCTGAAACCCGTCCTTGCTGGAACATTCATCAAGTGTCCAATTAGCCACCCAGGGGGAAGAAAAAATTCGAATTGAGGGTTATGTGTGGCTTCACCGGCAGAAGGATGTCACATTGCAAAGTCCGCTTTCTGGTGGCAGCTAACGGTGTGAGCCATGGTAGGGGAAAGAGTTAGGATTTACTGATCATAAGTGGGGCTGTTACCTGAGGCTGGGGGTCAGCTTCGTGTATCATTCTCTGGGGCACCAGTTTCTTCTGAAGCAAGACTGAGGTGGTCTTGTGCTAACGGTCCTCTCAAACAGGTCCCAAGCATCTTTTTTCTAGGTGATCTGCCCAGTCTCTTAGGAGAGCAGTCTCCCTGGCTCGGAGCAGGAAAGGATCTTGGCATTTTCTCCTAGGGCAGTACCCGCTCCAGCCTCTGGCCCTCAGGCCTATATGCCTGACTTACACCACATCCTCAACAGCCTGGCTGGGGTCCGGGTCGGGAGACAGCCTGGGACTTGTAACAAAGGACAGGCTAACCTCGGATCTGGAGCTCACTGGCTCCTAGTTTTCCTCGGGAGAACTCTAGAGGGCTAGCCAGACTGTACCCTTACATTGCTTAGTTGGTGGGTGGTGTCTCTTCCCTGTGCTCCTACCAATTTCCCTGGCATGTGTGGGAGGCAGGAAGGGTGCGTGCACCCCTTGCTTGGCAGGAACAAAGTGGTACAACCACTGGCATGGCCCATACTTGGGACATGGATTCCAGCTTTTCTTCTGATTTCTGAGATGTCTCTGGGCTGGTACTTGCAGTCTACTGTGTCCCGCTAGCCAAGCTCACTCCTGTCCTTCCATGATTGGACCTTGGGCTATACCTGTTATACCTGAATGGATGTTGACAAGAATGTCCTCTCTCACTGTGACTCACGAGCTCACCTCTTGTGTTCCCTTCCTTTTATTACGCATGATGAGCTTAGAATGGGCCCATCTGTAGGCCACTGGTGTCAGGTAGGTGTTGGAGGGGGGAGGCGTGATGTGATGTTGGGGTTAAGGGACTTGGAGAGATGCCAGCTCAGGAACTGTGGCTGCCTTACCTCTCCACGTGGTCCACGTTGCCTGCCACTCCAAGTCCCCCGAGAGTGTAAATCTTCCCATCATAGACGAGACTGTTGTGGCGACAGCGAGGGACAGTCATTCTGGAGACCAGGTTCCAGTTATCCAACAGGGACATGTAGCACCAGACATCCGCCAGCGTCACCCCTGATTCCATACCACCTGTGGACAGTATGGGGGGTACAAAGAGCAGGCGGGGGGCTGAAGAAGGGCTTGAGGGCAGGATGCCCAGCTCCACGGACAGAGGCAGGAGGCTTCCTCGGCAAACCAGATAGACACTCTGGGCCCTTGGCCTTCCTCAGCCCAGTGTGTGGGCAGAGGTCCCTTTGGGAAGCCCATCCCAGGTCCTGCCCAGCCCTTGGGAGCCTCACCTGAGAGGTAGATGTTGTCCCCGGCACTCACTACACTGAAGAACTCTCGGTCATAGAAAGGCAGCGAGGCCAAGGGGTACCACTTGTTGTTCTGTGGATTCCAGCAGGTGACAGCCACCAGTGAGCGCTGGGTCATCCCCACCATCTGCCGGCCCCCAACCAAAACGATGACCTCGGCCACACCTGCGGGGACAACGGATGGGCATCCTTGGGACACGCCCTCACTTCGTCATCATCTATGCCTGGCTCCTGTCTGGGGGTGGGGGACCACCTGGAGCCAGCCGATGCCATGCAATTAGGGGGGGGGAATTTGGGCACGTCCCATGATACCTGCAGAGAGGCGGGGCCGGGTGCGGGGTGTCTGCATCTCCTGCCGGGCATGGGGCAGCATGTGGTAGCGTTTTGCCTCATTGACCAGGTCCCGGCATGCTTCCGATGACTTGATAAGTTCTTCATTGTCCACCACGTTGAGCAGATAGCTGGGGTGGATGAACGGGAGGCGGACAGCCGCGAGGAGCTCTGCTGCGTACTGTGGGACAGAAGAGGAAGCCACCGCTTAGAGCTGACTGGAGAAGGACTTCCCACATCTGGGGTGTGTCTTAGAAGTGCACACACTCCAGCCCGTTATACGAGAGACGATAGGAGGCATGGTGGGCTGACCGGAGGCGTGGTGGCCACAGCTGGCCCCAGGCTAGCCTCTCTCTCCATCCCTCCAGCCTCTCGTCTCCACCCCCCCATCTATGGATCCTGACTGCACATCATACTGCCAGGCGATTGACACCAGGAGAGCAGGCGTCTTGCGTCTGGAAGAGGTGGGAGTGTGACAGGAACCAGGTGGGAGGGCCCAGAAGAACTTAAATGAGAAGATGACTGTCAGGTGACAGAGACACCTGTGTGTCCTTAGTACTTGCAGCTCCTCAGTAGCGTCACCTTGTCTCATCTTGGCTTCTGGACCCTCTTATCCTTCACTCAAGGCTTTTCCTGAATTGATGGGAACTTCCCCTGCGATGGGCAAACCGCTCACCACTCCACCCACTTGGGTTTCGTCTGGAGAATGACTGGCAGGAGTAATTGGGAGCCAATAGATACCACATGTTAAGCTTGTTACTGCAGCCACGGAGGCTGATGAGACCCTACTTCCCACCGGGGTTTAGCCAGGGCTGTGGATGTGACGGTGTCGCTGGGGAGATGATGTTGGCGGTGGGAGAGCTGCGGGCTGGGAGGTGGGGGAGGACATCCGGAGGCATGGGAGAGTGGAAAGGGATGTGACGTTTGAAGAGTGACATGGGGCTTATTCTTGGGTGCAAAGGGTCTTTTTGGAGGGATGCAGCAGTTAGCAGACGGGAAGCAGGGAGACCAGGGTCTCTGGGCAAGCCTGACTGAGCCCATACCACACTCTGGGCTGTGGATGTAGACGTGAGGGTCATAGAGAACTATGGATAGCAGTTACTGTCCTTAGCTACACAACTCCAATTCCTTTCTCTGTTTTTAAAAAAATGCTTCCTGCCAACCTGATCAAATGCGGAACCCACTTCTCATGGACCCTAAGGACCCAGTGGTGGGTTGAGGTGGGGCAGGGAGCTATCCATATCTCTCTCATCCTTGTCTCCAATCTTCCCCTCCCCTCCCCTGTTTCCCACCTCCCCTTCCTTCCCTTGAGTCAGAGTTTCTTATAGCCCAGGCTGAAGCGCTCACTATGCAGTCAAGTCCGGCTTTGAATACCCCTAGTCTTCCTGCTTCTACTTCCCAGAGCTGGAATAAGAGGCATGTGTTACCGTACTCGGCCGTGTCCTTTTTATGCCCGATGAAACGTGAGCGCCTTTCGGATCCATCACTGGATGGCTTCGGCGTGTTCTGGGGTCTGCTTTCCCTGACTCTGTCCTAGCCGGTTAGGCTCGCTCTTCCATCATTGTCCCCATTTGCTGTTTTCTATGCTGGCCCTCCCAAGGGTTTCCTGCAGCTGCCCCGACTTTCCAGCTCCTTCCTACAATAGCCAGTGGCAATCCCCTTCTGCGCAGGGCCTCCCGTTGGGGCCTATCAGCTCCCCGAGACTCAGGTGACTATCTGGGGATACTGCTGCATTTTCTTTTCTCCTGTGAATGGACACTCTGGTGTTTCCTGTCTCCTCTGGGAACCTCACGTTCTCTCCTGTCGTACCCTCAGTCGTTTCCCCACTTCCAGAACGGTCTCTGTTTGCTCTCCACCCACTTGACAGCCAGAGCATGTGCTCTGACCTCCAGGGGTCCCATATACCCTGCTCAGGCACCCACTTTCCTGCGAAGAACCCCGGTACCTCCCACCCACACCCTGTGTTGCCTTGGCAAACCCGGAGACTGTCGGTGGAGTGGAGGTCGTTAAGAGTGGAGGTGTAAGCCGGGCAGTGGTGGCGCATGCCTTTAATTCCAGGACTGGGGAGGCAGAGCCAGGCGGATCTCTGTGAGTTGGAGGCCAGCCTGGTCTACAGAGCGAGATCCAGGAAAGGCGCAAAGCTACACAGAGAAACCCTGTCTCGAAAAACCAAAAAAAAAAAAAAAAAAAAAAAAATGTGGAAGTAGGGGTGTGTGTGTGTGTGTATGTATGTTTGTGTGTATGTACTAGACTCCCTCTCATTATTTCCGACTCCTATACAATCCTCGCTGTTGAGACATGCAGCCCTTCCCCCTTCCCCCTCCTCCACCCTTACAGCAGACCCCACCCCTGCAGGGACTGGGTGCAGCAGGCCTACCTACCTGCGCCCGTGCTGCTGGGTCCTTCTTGATCCACCTGATGACAGTTTCATAGACCAGCTCCTCGGCCTTGGTGTTGAGACTGTCATTGGAGACGTAGGCGATGAAGTCATCCTTCGAGATGCTGAGGATCTCCTCCTGGGCCGCCACCTCGGGGAAGATCTGCAGCGCGAAGGCCTTGGCCATGTGGTAGAGCTCGCCACACTGCATGGCCTCAGCCATGGCCAGCACACCCAGGCAGTTGCTGGCGGTCAGCTGCTTCTCTAGGGGGAGCAGGGTGGGGGGTGGGGGGGAGAGCGAATGGTCACTGATCCGGGATGGCCTGAAAGGATCGCCTCTTGTTCCCGTCATCATCCCTGGCTCTTCCTCTGAACCCAATCCATTTCCTGGTGACCTGCCTCTAGCATCCATGGTCATCCGCCTACCTCCTGTGACTCTGAGCCTCAGATCCGTTCCCCGGGTTTCCCTCTGCCCTGACTCCTGTGGGCCTCCCAGGGCCTAGTTCTACCCCTGCAGACCATAGCAGAAAACCACAGCTGTGAGGGATGGCATCAGCTGCCTGCCTCCCTGACTGTGGAGGGGGGGGCTGGGGCCTCAGGATTTGGGCCTGGGCTGTGGGTAGCAGCCACTTTGAAACTTAAGGTGTCTTCCATCATGACAGGCATGACTGAGGTCACAGACACCTTTTCTTAAATCTTGTAACACAGTAGCCCTCACATGTCAATCCGCTGTCTCCCATGGCCCTTAGATTCCTTTAGTCTACCATCTAGAACCTGGGGTCTGGTAGCTGGCTCTTCTAAAATCTAGCTAATGGCTCTTTTCTAGAACTAGGTGTGTGCCCCATCCTGTCGTTATGGTGCCTGACCCCCCTGGATTAATTAGCTCCTTCAGCAGCCCTCACTGATCTCCCAAACTCTAGCTTTCCTTTCTGTATACCGTACCCAGGCTCTGTATTTATATGTGTGTGTGTGTGTGTGTGTGTATGTATGTATGCATGTGTCATATATATGTGTGTGTATATATTATATAAATAATATATATATGTATATATATTATATATGATATGGTGTGTGTGAGGCTGTCCTTGACCCCCCCTTACTCCACAACTCCCAGCAGAGCTGAGCAGCACCAAACTGTAAAGCAAGCACTCTCTAGGCAGGAAGTCTGGAAGGTGAGCCCATCACCAATATCCACGTCTTGCAGAAAACCAGCTCTGGGATTCCAAGGGTTAGATCAGATGCACTGGCTTGTCCATGCATCTGTGTGGCCCAGGAACCGATATGTTGAAGGGGAACAGATGGCATGGTTGATTCATTCAGGGCTTAGAGGCCAGGGCACAGTGGTCAGGTTCCCTGCCTGCACAGGCTGTTTACATATCCTAAGGGCCACTGGTTCCGGCAAGGCCACAGTGGCCCCTTCAGTACATGCCAGTCCATCAAGTCACCCATATGCTCAGGTGAAATCTGGATATCCCAGCACACTCTGGGGGACACACAAAGTCCTCCTCACTCAGTTCTTCCTGGCTGGGAATTGTTCATGCATCTGCACCACGTTCTCCACGTGATGTAGAGGCCCCCCTGGCGAGCTCACCGAGAAAGGACACGCAGACTTTGCAGAAGGTGTGGAACTGGAACTTGCTGGCCGCCTCGAGCAGGGTCTTGGCGTTGGCGGAGTCGATGACCAGCGAGCCGGTGTAGACGAATTCCAGCAGTAACTCGAGGACATCAGCCTGCAGGTTCGAGAGCACCAGTTCCAGCTTCTCCCGGCCGCCCTGGCTGCCGTCCTGCACTGACCTAAGGCACAGAGACCAGGGGTGTCCTCACCTGCCACCCCTGAGGCCACTGCCGCTTCCTCACAGGGCCAGAGCTCCCTGCACACCTCAAGTCACGCCCTTCGTCTTAGGACTCAAAGGACACAGCAATGACACACCTGAACCTAAGGGCCTGACACAGGATCTGGAAGAGAAGGTCTGACCAGAGGCGCCCCAGAGAACAGAAAACCCTGCTTATCACTACTCGGCATGTCCATGCAAAAAAAGATGCAAATCAAAAAGCATGAGCCGTGGATGGGGACAAGGACCAGGACTAGCCGTAAAGGGAAACAATACGGTTCAGCTACCTGCTGGACCTGGTGTCTACACCAAAGGGTACCAGCATGCCCTGGCAAGCAGGGCCTCCGGCCTCAAGCAGCAGAATCTCTCTTCCCGGCTGAGGCTCAAAGGCTCCTGATTGGCTGCCATCCTAGCCAATCAGGAGGCATCCTTTTGAGCCCGGCTCAAAGACCCAAGGCCTTGGAAGGCTGCCCCCGAAGTCCCCCCCCCCAACCCCAACCTCTCCAAAAACAAAAACAAAAACACATATTGTTTCCTTTTAGGCATGGAAGGGAAGCCCTTCATGACATTGCTTTGAAACTGAAGACAAGACAAGATAGACGGACAGAATGTTTAGAGCTGGGAAGGGGAGAGGGTAACAACCAAGGACTTCCGCCACAGACAGCCAGCAGCCATGACCTGGGGCCTGGCCCGGGGCGGGGGGGGGATGCCCTCCTGCCACATGGAACACGGGGTCAGAGGTCAGAGTGGCCTGCGTGTAGAGTGTGCATCGGGCTTGTGAACTAGGGTGGCGAGCAGGGGAGGGACACAAATATTATCAGTATGTTTATATCTGGTGTCTACAGAAATACAAAACCATTGCAAAGGCTCCTAAGACCTGGCAGCCGCTCCCTACAGCTGGACCTGGAAGGAAACAGATAAGATGAGGCAGAACACACCGATACAGGAGGCCGGGAGAAAAAAAAATAATAAAAAAAAACAACACCCAGAGCGTTAAGTCAGGAGGCAGGTTTCTCAGAGGCCATTGACCTGACCACCCTAGTTGGTCTCCTCTCACCAGACCCAGCTTCCCTCACTGAGGCTGGCCTGACCAGGGCTGTGACAGGGCAGTGAGCTCCATTGCCTACCCACTGACTTCTGCAAACGCTGCCGGGGGCCAAGACTCTTGAGACTGGTCTCTTAGGTGCACCCGGGGCAGGCAGGAGAGGTGTACCAGTGCCTGGGAGGGCAGCTGGTTGACCAAAGAGGCCTGGGATAGCTGCTGGGTGAGTGGACAGAGCGCTAGTAGGGAGCGAAGGGACCTGGGTACCCTGCTTTGCCACTGACAGGCAGATATCCTGAGCCTCTCAGGCACATGCTCACTCAGTGCTTAAGTGACTTCACACACCTGTGTTTTACTGCTGAGATGGAGTCCCAGGCTTGGATGCCTTTGTTAGGTGTAAAAATTGGTTAGCTCTCAAATGGCCCCTAGAGACTCCATAAATTCCGATTATTCCCAGGTCTCAAGCTATCTGGTCAACTTTCTTGCTCCAAGTCTTTGCTGCCTATGTGTTCATCCTAACCGACTAGCCTTTCCTTGGTACTTCCTTAGGCTCTGTAGAAGTCATGCTGGGCCACAGTGTGGTAGGGCTGATGGAGTCCACACGGGCTTCTCACCTTTCCTCAAGGTTCCTTTTACTGCTGCCACCAACAATGGCCCTCTCCGTGTGTCTGAGTCCTCAGACAGAGGCTCTCAACCCAGTGAAGAGCTGAGGTAGGTCTTGAGGGTATAGACACACATGACCCTGGCTGACCCCGTGCTGGAATTATAGTTATAAAGGGCTAGTCTTGCCACACTGCTGGTGACTGCCTGTGGCTCCTCAAAGCTGAGCCTGGAGAGTGTTTTGGGGATAGACCTGCCTACACTGTGAAGTGTACCAGGAAGGAGGGGTAAGCATTGGAGAGCGTTGGTAATGACGTTAAATCGAGGGGACCTTGGCCATAGACTGCATGGCTGTGGCTGTCTCTATTGGGAAAATGATGTGCAAGAGGAGGGTGCTGGAGGCTCTTGGGACTGGAAAAGCTAGCCCCTTCTACTTGGCTACATGGGTCGGTCTTAGTAGCCTAGTTCAAAGGTCTAGAGGAGGCATTGGAGTCTGGATACCCTACCTTGGCACACAGGTGGTATTAACTGTATGGTTGATGTGTAGTTCAGAGAATTGCAAGGGCCCCAAAAGGCTGGTAATGAGTGTTTCCAATCATCAGATGAATGTAGGCATCTACCTAGCACTCCTTATGTCTCTTCACTCTGAGCAGAGGTCTCCTAGGGATGGGTAACTCCGATCATGGCTATAACACTGCATCTGTCATGGGTGTGACGAATATCCTGCCCTAAGCTGGTTCTTGAGGGGGCAGCTGGCCCCTGAGGGTCATGACACAATGGTACAAGGATGTACAGAACCACAAAAATAGACTATAGTAACACTGTGATTCTCAATCTTGGGGGCATGGCAGAAGTGTGGTGCCCCAGCACACACTGTCTGAGGGTTCCAGCAGGAGACTAGCGCTGCATGAAGTTACTTTCTTCCAAGCGGGGCTGCCCAGGAGAGTTCAGGTTCCTAGGTACAGTTCCTAGGTACAGCAAGGCTGGGTCTATGGATGTGTCAGAGATGCCTATCTTCGACTAGTCAGATCTTGGAGAACACACTTTGAGCAGAGAACTCCTCTGGGATAAGTTGCCCCCCTCCTCATCTGCCTCTGTGACCAGGTGTTTGCACAATGCACACTGGAATTGGGTACTGTCTGGAAGTGTAGGGCAATGGTGAATGGATACAGTTGGCACTCTGCTCCATCCTTCTGACGGGATTCCTCCCCTGCCCCATGTCATTAGCTTCAGAGCACTGGGTTTGTGTATACCCAGGCCTCACTGGGTCCTGTGGACTTTGGCAGGCCTTGGACCACTTTTTGAGAGGAGGCAAGGCAATGATGGATCTGGTCTCCATCATGCTGCTGACCCCTAAGAGGCGTCAATCCCTCTTCTTGTTGCCTTGTTTTCAAGGCACACCTGTGTGTTCTAGATGAGAAGGGGGACAGGCACCTGGGGAAAGAGGTACAGGGTGTGTACCTGCACTGGTACATGAAAAGCTCCATGTCAGTTGGTGAGGTGGGCCACTGAGTCAGTATCCACTCTAGCCTCCCACATCACGGCTGAAGAAGGAAGGAGAAGCCCAGAGCTTAGCATTAAGCTTTGTGAAAATCAGGTTAGGAAAAAAATCAGTGAATTGTTTTCATCCAAAAGTGAAAGAGAATAGAATTCACATATCATACATGGTCAATAGGCTCTGTTGTGAGGTGAGGCCTTCAGCTCTCACGCTCAGGTCTCTGTCCTCTTTGGTATGATGAGGGTCAGGTTTTCTTAGGCGCTGGGCTTTTTTTTCCCCCACACCTTGATTTAGAGACATGCTGGGAAGTGCCAGGGATGGTAGGAGCCATCACTGCCATCTTTAAGAAAGAAAGTCACATCCTCCCTGATGGGGGCTCTAGCCTAGGCATTAAGTGGAAGTGACTGGCCGTGATTAATATTTCTACGGCATCTGTGCATCCTGAGACATTCTCTGTGCCCAGAGGGTAAATGAAGGGACTTTGCCATGGGCCAAAGAAGAAAAGCCAGGGCAGATGATGCAGGCAAGGGGTGAGATGCAGCCTCAGGCCTGGGAGTCCGACCCTAAGGGCCACTGCTGGATTCTCTCCAAGTATGTGAGCAGATAAGGGAAGGAGGAACACCCCAATAATCACCCCAAGGTTGTACCTCAATATTTTTGTCTCTGCTATTCTCTTGAAGGCAGTGCCTCAACCCTTTGTCCTCCCCAGCCCCTGCCTCTCAGTTTCCCCGCTGATCACCCTATGGACTCAGGTTGGCTAACCAAAGGTCAGGCTGAGCAGGCCTGTGGGTTCTGTTTGGCCCTTGGCTTGTTGCTAGCCTCCCATCCAAGGGCTCCTTGGCCTCCAGGCCTCATCTAAAGGGCCCAGTCCCTTTGCAGGTCTGTACACAAGTGCCTGTCTTAAAGGAGAATTCTGTCCTCCTTGGCAGGCTTTTGTGGCCAGGGTCCCTAACATCACATGTACACTGCACGCACCCCACTACTTGTACATGGTGTCAGCCCTGAGACTTCCCGTTTCTCCCTCACAGACTTTGCCTACAAACAGAAAGCACAGTTTGGTTTTCTGGGTTAGAGAATGGATGGTCAGAGGGGCTTCTGCATCAGACAACATCTGTATGTCAGTTAAGTGCCTGAGGCTTCAGGATCCTCCTCTGCGAAATGGGGATTCTAACCATACGAGCTAACATAGCTCTTCAAGCTAACATATCTAGAAAACTTCTTATCACCAGATGGCAATCTTGTCAAAAGAGGGAGTGGTGAAGGATGGCTTAGAGACATTAGCTCATCAATGGAAGCCTGTGAGGAAAAAGCCTGGGTAAGGTAGGGCCCCTGGGACTGCCAGGCAGCTGAGGTCCTGGAAAAGACTTGACTGCTGTCTGGGAGGCCACACTGGGCAGACCCAGCTTTTCTGCTCAGTCTCACATTGATACCGTGTGTGTGTGTGTGTGTGTGTGTGTGTGTGTGTGTGTGTGTGTGTGTGTGTGTGTGTCTCTGTCTGTCTGGCCAGGCTTAAAGCAAAGCTTATGACCTGGTTCCTCTTAGTCTGTTTCATGCTTCCCTTTCCTGATTCATGTGCTATCTGTTGCTGAGGACTTTGGATGGAGCGGCTTTGGCCCAGGAGAGACCCTGCCTGTTTGCAGAGAGGAATGAGATTTCCTATATGTCCCTCCCAGGGCTCCAGGAAAGGCGGGTCACACTGAGAATGGGGATGGAGCCGTGTGGACACATGACCTAGGTTGGTGGTGGAAAGGAACCCTGCTTGAATTTCCAAGTCTGCGGTGTACAGCAAGGGGGCAGGGGTGGGTGTCCCCTGCTCTGACAGAGCTCAGCCGGGGCAGATCAGTATTGACCCATAAAAGCTCCGAGACACAGATTGCCCTACTTCTTCACCTCTTAAGACGACAGCCCCTGAAAAGGAGCCCCTCGCCCACTTTATCCTGGCTGTTCCAACCACCGTATGTTAAGGCTCCAGGGTCACTGATGTGAAGGGGACTAAAACATGGTGACATTAACTGCTCTCTGACTATGAAGAATTTGGGGGCCATGTGGCTCACAAAGGTAACATCCTCCTGGGAAGATCTTGCTTCCCTCCTTCAAAAGCAATTTTTTTTTTTTCCCAGCCATCAGCATGAATGGCAACATGGACCCTGTGTGGCCAGGACAGAGAAAGGAGATTCAAAATGGCTGCAGACAAACACGGCTTCAACTTCTCTTTCGCTTCCTGAAGTTACTTCATGCCTGACTACCTCCCACTAAGGGACTTGGGTGCCCTTAAGGCTCCAAAAGCACAGCGTGCCCTGTGCTCTCCTGGCCATCTTCCCCAGCTCCCCTCTGACAGTAGACTGTTGACTAGTGCGCTCTTCCCTTAGGACCCTGACACCACCTCCTCTCATGTCCTGGCATTCAAACTTGTAAAGAAGCCTCACCAGGTTGGTCTTGTCCATCCACTGACTGTCACCTTCAACATCATTTGTGACCAACTTCTGGTTTACAGGTGATAAAGCCTGAGGCCTGAGAGCGAGGGTGTGGCCAGACCCGAGTCACAGGATGAGTGTCAGAGTCAAGTGTAGGACCCAGGTCTCCTGACTCCCTCTTTCTCCCAGCAACTCCTTTCCCATCAGAGCTACTGATGTCGTTGGGCACCTCCTCCTCACCTCACAGCAAGCCCGGGAGGTCAGTGGGAAGGCAGGGCCTGCTCACATCTGCCTCTGGGGAGGCCACCTGTTCCTGTCCTTGGTTCATATCTGTTTTCGTCCCTGCCCTCCTTGTCTGGAAGGGCCTTCCTCCTCCTCCTCCTCCTCCTCCTCCTCCTCCTCCTCCGTCTAAGAAGGATCCTACCTATCGGAGTCTTCCTTCCTGTTGTGAGGGGGAGTTTGGCTTTAATGTCTCTTCAAAGGCACTTAAAGGCTTCCTTTCCCCACATGGTTCTAGTCCAGGGCTGGACCACTGCTCTACTTTTACTTCACTATTCTGTAGCCCATTTGGATCAGGGCCCAAGGTCCCAGATTATTTAGCTATGTTCCTGCAGCCAGGTGCTAGCCACGGTTCCCAAAGTGCCCCTGGACTGGAGAAGTCACTGGACACCTCTTCCCTGAGACGTGTCTCTCTAATCCCTCAGATACACAGAACCTAAGCACGGGGTGGGGGGCAGGAGACGGAGTTGTCCAGGAAATGGGAATGTCACAAGGAGCCTGCCCCTCCTGTGTGGCACAGGGCCAGTGAGGCTGAGTGGGACCTCACACACCCGGCGGCCTGGCCCTATGCCAAAGGACACAAGGGACAGGAAAAGAGATGCCATCCTGAAACAAAACACAGTCGCTCTGGGGTTAGTTGGCAAGTCCAAACACAGCATTGGAAAGCAAGCAGAGGTCCTGTCCTCCCACTCTGAGCTCTGTCCAGGCTCAGCGTCCGCCCCGGAGAGGCTGCAAGGCAAAATGAGCAGCGGCATTAATCTGCTGATGGGTGAGAGAAACGTGAGAGTTACCCTGGGCTGGCCCCTCGGCTGCTCTCCCTCACTAAGGAGCTAGGAGGTGGCCCTGACATCTTTGCAAGGGTATGAAACAGCCAAAAAAAAAAAAAAAAACCAATTATTCAATTTTAAAATTAACGAAATGGAAAAACAAAGATATTCAGGCACCGATCACATCGATCCAGGTAGAAATGAAAAATGGCCAGATGGGGCCAGGGTGGGCTGAGGGAAGGTGAAGGCTGAGAGACCGTGTTTAGGACACACCTGGTCTGCACTTAGTGCCCAGGGTTCAAGCATGAGGCTTGGCCTACACACTCTTCTCCCTGACTCAGGCTGGGGAGGAGCCGTTCCTGGGGTGCCTGGTGTCCCTCTGTGGGCATGGCCTGCTCAATAATAGGCTTTCCTGGTACTGGGTCCACACCATCCACAGTGGTGGTGATGGATCTGGGGACCCTGAGGGATGGAGCAGTATGAAATGGTCCCTTCAAACGGAGTCTATAGTTCTCTTAGTCTCAGGAAGGGCTTGTGCTCTGCTAAGAACATGGGGCTTGGGGTATGTGTGTGGCCTACTGTGGGCTAGCTCCTGGTGGCCCGTGAGGCCGTGTGTGGGGGCAAGGGCAGCGGCTGCTCTGTGTGTGTGTGTGTGTGTGTGTGTGTGTGTGTGTGTGCATGCATGTGCGCGCGCGTGTGTGTATGTGTGCTCGTGTGTGGGCACTGGGGGGGGGGGGGAAGAGAGATGGCTACTGGCTCTGTGACAGGGAGTCACGCTTCAGGAACCTGTAAGAGAGGGGAGAGGAGAAAAGCCACACAAAAGCGTCCTACGAAGGAACAGACCCGAGCACAGCTGGAAGGAAGGCAAACCTTTGAATCAGGTCCTTGAAATACAAGCTGCAGGAAGCTAGAACATTTTGGTGGACTTCAAACTCTCTGCCTTCTACAACAATTTTCAGGTCTGTAAACGCTTTCGCTCGTCGCTGCTGGTTCAATTCCTTCAACATCTCTGCAGAGTAGAGAAGACAGACAGGGCCAGGTTCCCATTAAGAGGTTTTTTTTTTTTTAATTTTTTTATTTATTTATTTTTATTTTTAATTAAATTTTTTTTTCAAGAAGTAGAGAAATAGAAATAACTTGATATCGTTTCTTGGCAAGGCTGGCTGAACACCGACAGTCAAAGAGAGATCACAAACAATGCGTGAACAAGCAGCCACTGGGAGGGGCTACATAACCAAGGGACTAACAACTTAGAAAAGCAAAAACAAAACAAAACAAAAAAACCCGGATATGATTTAAAAAAAAAAATCAAACCCAGATATTGAAAGATCAGGGAGCAGAGCAGGGAAAGATTCCCATACTGACAATTGCAAACAGAAAATACCACAAACAGCTTAGGAAAAAAAAAAAAACCAAAATCTATCCTAAAACCATGGAATAAGGTCTCCAAATGCCAGTGGTGCCGATGTATCGAGTAAAGCGTGGCATTGTGATGGAAGACGGGCCGGACGTGGTTCAGAGGAACAAAAGCCCACCAACCCTGTAAAAACAGCATCCCTTCTGTTAGACACTCAAGCCACGGCGTGGAACAAGTTTCCTGGGAAGGGAAGCCAGAGAACAGAAGGGCCCAACGAGGGCTTGGCAAGTGCCTCCTTCCATCTCACACTTTTGGGGGCTTCTGGGGTCAAGCAAGCAAGCGTGGGGTAGGGTGGGGTGGGGTAGGATAGGGTTGGGTGGGGGGTGTTTCTCTGCATCAGCCCCATTTTCTAGGCTAGCCTTCCAGGACGCCCAGCCTTGCCTGTGCCTTTGACAACGGGAAGCTGCTTTACAGCCTCTATAGGTCTTAAGAGAAGGGGCTTGGGGGTTATTTTCTGCCCCAGTGTATACCTACCTTTGCCTGGAGTCTTGGCCACCTGGGCTGGCACAGACAGAATTCCAGGCCTGTGGGCTCCAGACCTAGGGATGTCAACATCTTCTCCCAGACCCACCCCAACAGCTAGAAGGGAGGAGGAGAGAAGAGCCCGCCAGCCAGCCTATTTAACTAAGGTGTATTTTTTTTCCCCAGGCTGATGTTAGGGCCTCTGGATGACCGTCGTTTCTCACTAGCCCCACCACATCTGGCTGCAGTCAGGGCCCCTCATGCTTTGCCATATATTGTGGCTGGACATCAGAAGCCTAGACCCTTGTGTCGGGGCGACTTAGGCTGTCATCAGACATGTAATGACAGGAAAGTCCCCTTACTACCGCCACTTGAAGCTTTTCTAGAATTACCCTCCGGTGTCCCCTACTTCACGCCTGAACACAGGGTCAGTGCCAGTTGAATGCTGAGATACCCCTAAGCCCTATTTCTTATTCTGTCTTCTTCACAAGGGTGGTTAGGTGTCCCTGGGTGAGTTACCCCAGCCTGTGGCCGGTCTTCTATCTTTTTCTGAGCCTCTCTATCTTTCAACAGAGACCAGTGGGGTCACATGACCTAGTCCAGCTCAGGGATGAGAATAGGATTAGTGGGCCTTGGCAGTCCGGCGGGCCCTCCCTTGCAAGGATACACTGGGCTTGGGCTCTGCTGAGGACTGAGGTGGTAGAACTGTCCCCGTGAGCCACAGGTCAGGCTAAGCCGTGGACCCCTAACCAGGCGGTAAGCTGACTTGGAACTCTGGGAGCGTGCTCACAGGTGTGCATGTGGAAGTCCGGCTGGGCCCTCCACCTTCAGCGGGACAGAGAGACAAGGCTGGAGGGTGTGGGCATAGGTGAGCCAGAGAGTGGCAGGAACGCCTCAGTTGGCAGGTGAGAACCGTGCCAAGGAGCTTGAGCTTAATTCTGAAGCATTCGTGTGCATGTGGGTGCTGCCGGGGGTTCGTGTGCAGGGAAGTGGAGAGGTTAGCCGCCACCTCCAGTAATCTGCCAGCCAGCCAGGATGAGAGTGATTTAGGAAACCCAATGGGAGGCACGAAGACAACCTATATCCACAGACCTTGAGTTTGGAGACAGAACTGAGGGGGAACCTGAACTCTGCCTTCTGGGAGATACGCAGCCTTGAGAAGGTAAAATAACGGATTCCCAACAGCCCTGCTTGTTGAAAGTTAATGATGTCGCATCTGGTTAGCACCTACTGTGTCCAGTGTCACTGAAGTAGATTCAAACTACCGTTGATGGTGGAGTCCTCCCATGATCTCACAGGAAGATGAAGAGGCCTAATGGACACTGGAGGGCAGAGAAAGCATTCGGGCCTCGGCTGCTATGGGATAGGAGGGGGGCAAAGGGAAGGGACGGGAGGAACAGTTTGGTTTGGGGTAAGCCTGTCGAGAAAGAGGTGGTAAGGCACAGGTGGTAGTGAGAGGCCTGGGCTGGGGCTCAGGGAGGAGGACCTGTGGGGCCAGGCAGGGTACCTGTAACTTGTGATGCTGGGATTCTTACAGGGCCTGCAGCTGAGTGAGTCTGGTGGATGATGTCATTTAGGAGTGAAGAGATGGGTGGAGGTAAAGGCAGTGGACAAGTTCAGGGGAGGATCCGAAACTCTTGGAAATTTTGAAAAATATTTTAAAGCTCTAAGTGTGTGTGTTTGTGTCTCCCCACATGAGTGTAGGTACCTGCAGAGACCAGAAGAGGGCACCAGATCCCCAGTAGCTGGAGTTACAGGCAGTTGTGAACCACCTAACGTGGTGCTGCCCACTGAACTCTGGTCCTCTGGAAGAGCAATATGCATTCTCAACTGCCTAACCCTCTCTCCAGCTCCTGGGTCCTCGTTCTTATTCTGGATTTGTCATGGGGTAGTTAGATGGCCCTGGGTGAGTTACCTCTACCTGGTGGGGGGGGGGCCCTCCAATTAGTAGCTCTGTGGCTCCCTGGTCGTCATACTGTGTCAGGATCAGCAGATCCAGCCCTGTGTGCTTGTGGAGTTAGTGAGTGCTGGGGCCAGGCCAACATTCCATTCCTGGACCTGCTGTGTTCTGATGTTTTCAAAAGTTTTCCCTACAGGTCAAGGTTCTGGCAAAGACTCTAGCCACATCCCTAGTCCCAGCAGCAACACTGGCTGCACCAGGAATCCCAAGTCCAGGTCCAGATCTGGCAGGTGTCTGGGATTCAGGCAGCACCTCTCTCCACACACGTTTTCTGTGCTCCACAGCTCTACCTTTTCAGAAATCTGATTTAATAGTTGGGGACGATTATTCACTTCCCGAAGAATTTTTCAATTTATGAAAGTGCTCACCAGGGGATTCCTTTTCACAGCAGGCCCAGTGCATTCCAAGTATTGATCAGTTGGTATGTGCTTGCCACTGCCTGCAGAGTGCCGGCGGGGAGGGTGGGCATCACAGTCTATCCTTGTCAGAAGCACACCCTGAATGCACAGGAGGAAGACAGGACCTGCTGGCCTGGGTGAAAGCTGCTTGACTTCTCCACCCTTGTCTCACAGTCAAATAACCCTCCTGGATTTTTGAGGTGTCTCTTGGAAACAGTCCAAAAAGCTGGGCCTGGTATGGGAAGGGCTGTGGGATTTGCATGAAACCCGGATCAAAGGGCCCTCGGCAGCACCTTGCACCTATAGGATTCAGGTTGGGTGAAGAGCCTTGGGTTCTCCCCTGTTCAAGACTCAGTGGTACCTCATGAGTGAGGGGGGCTGATAGTCTGAGCCCACATGGAGGGCCATAGCGCTGGCTTCCATCCCTGCTGGCTGGCATTTGGGGGCATTTCCCAGTCTTCATGGTTTTGAGTGGGATGCCTCACCCCTATGCTTACAGAACTGGCTGCCCTGTACCTTGCTCTCCCCATCCCATCAAGGGTTCTTTTCCCACTAAGGCTACCTGGCAGAAAGCACATGACCAGAGAGTACTTCCCAGTTTCCAGCCAGCCTCCTTCTAAGCCACCTCTATGCTGCAGCTCCACACAGTGGACAGCCACAGGCCTCTGGTTAAGTGACCCCTTCAAAGGTGAGCCGAGGGAGTAAAGTGTCATGGAGTCCCAGCTTCTCCAGGCTTCTCTACTTTCTAGAGAAGTCCCCCATACCACAGGCAGCACCTGGTTTCCCAATGTGCTCCTTTCTGCCCAAGTCCTCCTTCCTCTGGCTGATCGCCATTGGCTTTCCATGCCAGTCCTGATAGCGTCTGGTCCCAGGCCTCCTTGCCTCCTCTTCCTATAACTCTTGCCCTCTGCCACCTCATGCATGCTTTCCCAACATTCCAAGCATGCATCTATCTATCTATCTATCTATCTATCTATCTATCTATCTATCTATCTATCTATCTATCTATCTATCTCCACTATGCCTTGTAATTATTTATTTACACATCTGCCTCTTGCATGAGACATTGTGTGTGTGTGTGTGTGTGTGTGTGTGTGTGTGTGTGTGTGTATTTTTTAACCTGCAACACTCAGCTCAGGGTCTGACATGTGTGCAACCCACATAGTAAGTTGCAAAAATTCTCTGCTATCAAGAGGCAGAGGTCATTTCCCACCTTTTGAATCATGACTGGTCTTATGATTTGCTTTGGACCATAGAGTGAAGTAGAAAGGACCTTATATGGGTGTTAACCACAGCCTCAAGGGGATCCGCTTGCTTTTGCTACCTCTGGAGATCCCTGCCATCACGGCACACAAACAGACTGGGGATAGCCTGTTGGAGGATGAGAGACGGCATGGGATGGAGACGAGCCTGACCTAACCCGCAAATTGCCTGACCAGAACCACAATCTCAATAAGCAAGTTTCCTTTTTAAGCCAGGGTGTTTGAGAATTGCTGGTTCGCTGGCAAGAGACACTTGATCCGGAAGGCAGGAATAAATGGACTCATGAGCTCAGAACTGGCCTGTGTCAGTTTTCCCTGTTAGTTTGGTGTGAGGTTAATTAAAAAAAAAATTGTGTAGACATTCCATCGTGCCCAGCTCTTATGTATGCAGTTTAGTAGTGATGAGTATACATACACTGTTTTACAACTAATTTCTAGAAACCCTTTCCAAATTGAAACTGTATATCCACGAAACCATAACTCCCCTTAGCCGCCTTCTCCCGGTCCCGG